TTTGTGATTATTAGTAGTATCTTGATTCTTAAAGATTATGGACACTTTTCCTGGAAAAGGACACATTGAAACAAAATTTTGTAAATAGTTGCAAAGAATTCACAATTCCCCTGGAACTCATACCCTGTCCTATATGCATATGCTATATGTTACCCTGTGCCATTATCTGCCTCTGAGGCCAGATCCTATAGGAGCAGTTTAGTCATAGGACTTACCTAAAATTATCCAAAAAAATTGTTGTGTGTGAATTTATCTGACTGGGGTTCCTTAATGTTTATCAGATACTCAAAAAGATTTTGTTCCCAAGATAGGGTTTTACTAGTGATTTTTGTTGGTTTGTTTGTTTATTTGGGGTTGAGAGGAGCTTGATAAATACCAAAGGCTGTAGCTTTTCTTCTTTTGAAGTTCATTCTTTACTTTTAATTGTGACCTAAAATCTGCAGCCAGAGTATATTTTGCAAAGCCAAACACAGAGATTTGAAAAACCTGCATTTGGACTGCCAACCACCTGCACAGCTACCACAGACCTCACCTTGGGAGTAGCCGTTTGGGGTCTGGGGACCCATGCAGTGTATCTGGCACCGTAACTGCCTCGCTAGATGATCTTTACTTTTGTGAAATAGTAAATAGCAGCCCTCATAATTCTCACCCAAGAATTTGGAAAAATTTTTCTGTTCCTAAAAGCACTTAAGAATCTTCTGGGAGAGTCTCTGGGTACTTAAGTAGACCTAGCACTGACTTTAACATTCTCTTAGCTGGGAAAAAATAAAATAAAAAGGACTATTAAAAGTTGCTATTGATGTTGTCATGGAATAGCAATTAGTGGTTGTAATAATGCATAAACACATGAGGCACACATCGAAAATTTGACATGCTTTATAAATGCTAAATAATAATAATGATGTCACAGGGCTTTCATTTTCAAACTGTCTTAATTTCATTCTCAGTTTGAGATTGCAGATTACAGTAGTTAATTATAGAAATTGGCCCAGAGTGAAACCTTAAATCGGATTTCCATTAAAGCACGTGACTGCAGCAAATTACTTTCTCATAGGAGAGAATGGCATCATCCCTGGTGGAGTGGGGTCTTCCCACCAAGGGTGGTGATTTTCCTCTTAGTACTCTGCGGTACACCATGTGTCCTAAACAAGCCTCTTTCCTCGAGCTAAGCAGCCTGTGTACCTCTGTCTTGTTGCTCTTGTAAAAATCCTGCTTTGTTAGTGTTGATGAAACTCTTTCTCCTTCTTTCTCCCTTTCTCGCTGCTTGTCTTCTCTCACTCTCCCTCTTGGCTGTCTATGTTTCTCATCTCATGTTCGCTCATGCACTCAATTCTTTTTTTTTTTTTTTTAATAGTTTTATTTATTTATTTATTTATTTTTCCCCCCAAAGCCCCAGTAGATAGTTGTATGTCATAGCTGCACATCCTTCTAGTTGCTGTATGTGGGACGCGGCCTCAGCATGGCCGGAGAAGCGGTGCGTCGGTGCACGCCCAGGATCCGAAGCCGGGCCGCCAGCAGCGGAGCGCGAGCACTTAACCGCTAAGCCACGGGGCCGGCCCACACTCATTCTTTTCTCTGTCCCTCTCTCTCTCTCCTGTCACTCCCTCTCCATCCCCAAGAGAGGCAACTTTCTTAAGACTTGCCCTCACCCAGCTCTGAAAAAGGAAGGAATAAGCCGAAAGAGCCAAGGTCCCATCCCTGGCCTCTGGCACCTGCCACTCTCTGCCTCACCTACATCATCTCAGGTGACTTCCCCATTCATCCAGTAGGTCCTGAATGAACCAAGTTGAGTGACAGCTCTGCCTTCATCCTGACTGCTTCCTTCTAGCTGAGTTCCTGCTCTTTCCTTCTCTTTGTCAACTGCAACATCACCTTTTCGAAAAAGCCTCTTCGTCACAGCAGTCTGCATCATGGGTCCTGCCCTGGTCTTAGCTCTGAGAGACATTCATAGACCCAGGATTGTAATTATCAGTTTACTGGTCTGGATCTCACACTAGCCTTTGAATTCCTTGAGGACAGCGATGATATCTTATTCATCTCCATATCCCAAGCATTTAACTCTGTGCCCGGTACAAGGGAGGTGATCATTAAGTGTCTATTGAAATTAATTTAATTCATTCACTCTTGAAACCATTATTTATTAGATGATTACTCCACGTCATGGGTTATGCTAGCTGCTGATGGAAACACTACATAGTCCTGTTGCAGAGGAGCACAAAGGTGACCCACACAAGGGAGCTGCCTCTTAGGAATGGGGATGCAGGGTGAAAGGTGAATAAACTACATTGGAGAACGACTCTCTATTTCTCATAAGTCTGACAAAGCCAATCATTCCCGCACTGTTGAAAAAGAGTGTTTTACCTTGGGTTCCACGCCAGTTGAAGTGGTTGGCTTTTAGCTAAAAATTGGTTTATGAAGAGTATCTATCTTTAATGTCAGATGCTTTTTAAACACAATGAGATACTGACATAGGAGAGACTCATGGGAACGGATACCAACTGAGGCCACACCAGATCCACAGCTCATATTTGACATTCACTCCAAGGCAACACCCACTGAGTAGCATTGAATAACAGGGTCATGGGCATCTTCCCTCCATCTTGTCCCCTGCTCCTGCCTATGTAGATAAATTCACGTAAATTTGTTGTGTATGATTTAACTGCTCTATAGAATGATCATACTGTTGTAGATGTATTAGATAGAATAATTCATTCTAACTTAATGAGACAGGAAAGCTTCTCTGAGAAGTTGTTGACATCTGAACTCATCCTTAAAGATTGTGTAGGTTGGGACATGGCAGAGATGTACAGGGACCCATGTGTACTTTACTAGAAAGCCTAGTTCTTCTACACAAAGCTGAGTAAGCCTCGCAGTTCCTGAGTTTCTCTCTTGGACCCCATGGAGTCATCATTGCTCTTGAGTGTTTTTTCTTCCATTGTTCTGGCAAGTTCCTCTCCATCCCACAGTTATTTGGAAACTACTGCTGTACCAAGTCTCAACGCTAACAGCATTTAATAGCTGTCATTAGAAAGCAGGCTTCTGCTTACCAGTCAGCCTGCTGTGAATAGTAATGGAAGATTTCTTTTTTTGTGAGTAGCCCCAATCTCTAATTGGTTTTAAAAATATTGCTCATTTATTTTCTTCTTAAGACATTACCTTTTCATTGAACTTTAATAAGTTTGTGTTTCTATTAAATTCGAATTCAACTTAGCTGCAGTCCATTGAAAGAGATTTTCTGACTTCTTACTTGCTGTCTATGTAACCTGCCCACTTTCATCATTGCTTGTTGCAATAATTGCATAGCAATAATTGCATAATAAATATCCATTAAGTACTTTACAGGGATGTGCTAAGCATTTCACATGTGTTATCTCATTTAGGCCTTTCAACAACCTTATGGACTAGGTACTATTATTCCCACTTTATAGATGTGGAAATCATGTTCAAGATGGGTATGTACCTTGCCCATGGTCCCAGCTCTAGCAGCTGGCGTGAATGAAGAATCAATAGGCAATCTAGAGAGCTGACTTTGAGCCTCACCACAGCTGCATGTTAGCTATGTAACCTTGAGACACATCGTGTGTATTCTCTGAATGGCTTTATCAGCTATAGAGGGGCAACTCTCACTCTACTTACTGAATGGCTTTCTGGCAAGGATCAAAGTAAAAAATGAGAGTTCATGTAAAGACACTTTCTAAAACAGTTAGGTGCTGAACAAATGCAAGGTATTCTTTTCTCATATGTTGCGTGAGTTAGTTTAGCATATTGAAATAACAGGATTTAAAAATGGCACGCAGCACACATGTATATGCTTTGCAATTAGTGTAGCATAATTTAATTGTGACTCCATTGTTGGAATTTTGATGCTTCCACCTTGATTGATAGCCATTTTCTGTGGGTGTTATCAATTAATCTAGATAATGAATTCTCTTCATTATCTCGTTCTTCATGTTAATTATACAGGATTTTCTTATGCCTATTTATCAAGTTAGGACAAGTACAATTTTTGGGGGCCCACGTGGCTTTGAATATGGAATATGTACAAACAGGGTAACATGATGGGTTTAAATTTACATTTCTGAAAAATTTCCTGTCAGTGGCTTGACTTTTCTTATGTCCTTCTTTGTGGTATGAGCTTATATCTCTTTCTCTGGGGGTGTTTTTTTTAAATCAAAAAGGTTGTTATCCAAGATAATTAAACTACCTCTGACTTTTGAATACATACCTCTAGCATATCAAAAAGGTATTAAGGAAGCATGGAAAAATTTGAATCTTTATCTATTAATACAAAACAACAAATAATTAACAAGTTCCTAGTTTTGAAATATTCCGTGAGGCACCATGACAGATAAAAATTTAAGTATAAACCACGGGGAGAAAAGACATAAGTGCATGAAATTTTAAATGACACTACTCACAAAAGAACATTTCCAGAAAACAATAGAAGAAAAAGTAGAAGACAGTATATAATAAAAGAGTGGTGATTGAATTCATTTTGAGTTCAGAGAAGTGATTGATGGGATATTATGGATAATATGGTAATGTAATATATTGATATTTATTAATTCAGTACTAAATTTTAACTTTCTTAATATTTTCTGGGACACCTATTTTATTATTCTATGTTCTGTGTTAAAGAAAAAGGGAGGGGCTGGCCCAGTGGCGCAAGCGGTTAAGTGCGTGCGCTCCGCTGCTGCGGCCTGGGGTTCGCTGGTTCGGATCCCGGGCGTGCACCGACGTGCTGCTTGGCAAGCCATGCTGTGGCGGTGTCCCATATAAAGTGGAGGAGGATGGGCACGGATGTTAGCCCAGGGCCAGTCTTCCTCGGCAAAAAAAAAAAAAAAGAGGATTGGCAGATGTTAGCACAGGGCTGATCTCCTCACAAAAAAAAAAAAAGAAAAAGGGAGTCTTGTTTTAATTGTCTCTATTGTTTAGCCAATTATTTTTCAGAATGTTAGCTGTCAGCATTTTGACGGACACCTTCCTATTTTCGATTTCAGGTTGAAGCCATCCTCGTCAATATTTTTGGTGGAATCGTCAACTGTGCCATCATTGCCAATGGGATCACCAAAGCCTGCCGGGAGCTGGAACTCAAGGTGCCCCTGGTGGTACGGCTTGAAGGTAAGTTGTGGTAGACTTCCACAGTGCCAGCGTTCCTTCTCCGGGATCAGGTGACCAGTGTGGGCTGCACTCACAAACTTCCTGAGACAACATAAGGAAATAAATGCAGTACAGCAGTACCTCTCTGAGCCTGTAACAGACTAATATGGATTGCAGCTCTCCAAGAATGGCATATGTTATGATTCTCCAGATTTTCCAAACTTATTCCAAAGTGGAGCACTTTCATTAGGAATCATGTCATGAGATTATGTTCTGGGAAAAACACTCTGAGAAATGCTGCTCCAAGAATCATTCATCATGGGAGAGCAATGGCTCTCAAACTTTTTGATCTCAGGACTCCTTTACTTGTTAAAATGGAGAACCCCAAGGAGCTCTTGTTTATTTTGGGTTGCATCTGTCGATATTTGTTAATTAATTTAGTTGATTAATAAATTAATTTGATAATAGGAATAACTACTTGGAAGTTTTTAGATACCTATTTTTTTAAGTAATAAAATTTTAGTTTTTTATATTATCTATTTTATGTATAAATATATGTACTACATTTTTGATGAAAAATAACTATCTTTTTAAATTTTTGATAAAAATAGCAGCACTGTTTTACAATTTTGCGAATCCCTTTAATATCTAGCTCAATATTTGCTTCTACATTATATCTGTTGCAATATGTTGTTTTGATTGAAGTATATGAAGAAAATCTGGCCTCATAACGTTATGTATTTGGAAAAGGCAGGAGTTTTTAATAATGATTTTATATAGTTTTGAATATTCTTCTTTGGTGCTACACTAAAGTCTATAAGTAATAGTTTCTTTATTAAAGATTAGATTAGTTTTAATGTGGAATCTGAAACTATTTCAATGAACTTTTTATACTGTTATATTAAAATTCATTGATCTCTCTTGCACATTAAGTGAATTTTACACATGCATGATTTGTAATACCATGCACTGATCATATGGAAAATTTTGGATTATGAGGATCTTCTAAAGGTTGACACTTCAAAATACGATATCAAAAAATTCACATTTGTTAATATCATACCATTCTCATCAGAAAAGCTTCTGAGTATTGGGAAGTTATCAAGCTACCAGATGCATGTTTTCGACAATTCTAATTTTCCCTAGAAAGTACAAATTTTATCAGCAGCCGTGAAATAGTCAGTTGTTTTCCTTGAAGTAACAAACTCACTTCACTCATTTTCAAGAAAATGTCTGCCAGATAACTAAGTCTGAACAACCATAGTGTGTCCTTCATTCTTTCAAGAAAAAATAGTGTTCCATGGAAAAGTGGGTGGTTTAACTTGCTGCTCAAACACTTGTAGAAATGCTTTTCCTCAGAACAACCGTCATAGTTCAGTATGCAGCAGAGTGCTTGGTCTCACAGAGCATTATTAGCAAGGTGTGTACTCAAGGGTTGAGATTTAATAAAATTAATATTTTTACTGTTCATTAAGGAAATTCTTAACTTGAATGTGGCAACTTTTTATCACAAGTATGTCGTGGTGAAAAATACAGTGACCACTAGTACAGTTTGGTGCCCCTGCTTTGATTCCATGGTAACATGCCAGCAGTTTTACTCACCGTTAACTTTTGCTTCATCAGTGGAAATGCCAACAGAGTATTACTATTTTTTAATTATTATTATTTTAATATTACCATAAAAATAGTTTTTCTGTCAGGGACAGCCCCCAGGTTTCTGTAGACCACACTTTGAGAACCACTGTAGTAGAGAAGCCAAAAGAGACACTTTAATATGAGAACTATGCAGAAGAACATCATCAACAAATTCAGATTACCCTGATCAGGCAGCCCCCTTGAGTGGATTTCAACAGCATCGTTCTGGGGACAGCTCAATTTCCCCAAGTTCTGCCTTGGTGCCGTAATTCCCTAAAGACCTTCTTCTCCTCAAGGTGAAGTCCAGGGATATTTCGACCCTGCTCTGTATCTCCGTCCTTTGAAATCAAGCTTCCAGAACAGCTGGAGCCTGTTTTTCTCTGCTTCTGCCTTTGCGTCTCTTTCTTCTCTCACTCTCTGCCACTCTGCTTTCTTTCTCCCTGAGACTCTGCCTCACAAACTTAGATCTGCACCATATGGACTTGACAGAAATATCACAAAAGAAAAATGGAAATAGCAGAATCCCCATTTGGCAAAGTTTAAGATGGATGTTAAAACATCTGAATGAATTAAATCTTCTTAAAAATGTAAATGTAACATAGTTGATCCCAATAAAAACAATTTCAATAAAAGGAAAATGATTTGCAAGGCTGTAATGAAAAGACAATTGATCAAGGAGTTAATGGGTTCATGAGTGTGGGTATAAAATTCTGATGAAAATGTTGATGTGTTAGGTGTTTTCAGGGTCAAAGTGACCAGTGACCCTCACTCAGATTCTAAAAGTCAGCTCTTCTTGTGTTCTTAAAGGAGAGCAGGGCTCTAGAAGCAAATCACACAAGTGTCTGTCACTTGGAAATGACTAGAAATGAATGCCTACTATGGTGGGCTCATTCTGTCTCGGGATCCTTCCTGTGCCTGTGTTATCAGCAGAGGTCCATAATGATTAGTTATTAGTACATTCCTAGAAAAGAAAGTTACCCTTTTAATTTTTCCCAAAAGATTAAAAGGAGCTGTTCTCTTATTTTCACACTATTCTTAGTATTCCAGAAGTATTAAATGATCCCTCTTATTTAACATATCCCCATCATGTGTATCTGGATGATACACGTGTTGAAATATGCCAAATACCACGTCCAAGATAATCTCTCTTATAATCTCTGCTGGCTGTGTCAGAGGTCTGAGCTACTAGGAAGAAGCCTTGAATGTAAGTTTGTTAGACAATCGGATTTGCATCTTTTAAGTTAATGTGCTTCCAGAGTATATGCCTGTGGCTTTTTAACTAATTAATATAATAAATACTATGTGCAGGTCGCTGAGTTTTAGGCATTAAGGAAGATGTATAGAAATGTAAGAAATGATCTCAGTTACTAGGTAACTGGGGAAATAAAAAGAAAAAAAGGAAAATTAAAAATACAAGATAATATATAAAGTGTTAACCAGAGTTTGCCTTAATAGAATCTATTTCTGTCTTAGTAGCAGTAGCCATTTGGGCATCCCAGACAGCCATCAGCGTGGCTTGTGGAATCTTCAGAAATGTTGATGCTTTACAGTGTCCACTATGTCATGGAGAATTGAATGTGACTACTCAAGATGAGCTCAAAGAGGATACTGTCCCCCAAATTTATGTAGATTAAAAATATCCATGGTGACCTTCTTTGCCACTGCCCTCCTTTCTCCATCATAGCCCCTCTCCTATAATAAGCACCTAGGACCTTTATCAAAGAGAAAAAGCAGGAGAGCTTTTGACATTTCTGGAGTCCTAGCCCGTGTTTTTTTCTTCCTCTTGTGGGAATTGGCATCTTGTGTGATAAATGTCCTTAGATAGATACAGGTTCTCACACTCAACATGGTAGGACCAAGGACACTCACTAATATCTATCTGTATGTGTGATTTCTGGCAAACCAGCAGCCCACACCAAGATAAGACTTATCCCAAAATTGTATTGGTCTTGCATAATAAGCAAGGGAAAGATGATATATTTTGCTCTAGCTCTGCTTTTGGCACTGATCATAAATAACAAAATACAGAAATTTGGAGACATTATTATCCTTAAAGGCCCTTGGTTTGTAATTAATACAAACCAAGCCAGTGCTCTTTACACTAGGAAATGTCTGTGTCCCTTAAGCTGAGTGCCTTTTGTAGCTCAGCCCACTTTCATTGGCATACCCCCTTTTGTAAGCTTACTTATTATTGACTACTCTAATTATAGTACATTTAGAGATGTGAGTTAGCAAAGAAGCATTATAAAAGGAGAATTGACAACTTGAGCACGGAAATAAGTAAGATTTGATTCATTGGAAAGGAATGAGGAGGAAATTTAGTAGAGGATCAAAAGCAAGTCATCAGATCTGTTTCATACTTGGGAGTTGGTGATGGGATCATGACAGTGGTAAAGACTGAAAGATAGGACCTGAGTAGATCAGAAGGCTGTCCTCGTGAGAGTAATGGCTTTGCAGCAACGGGTTATGGCTAAAAGGACAGAGTGGGAAAATCAAGTTAGTAGCTAGCATCTGTGACATTAGATAGAATCTAAAACCCAAGCAGGATTGTGATATAGAAGTAAAAGTGGAGTTAGAGACAAGAGTGGAGATAGAAAAGGGGTTGAGAGAAAAAGGGGGCCCTGGGGTTTTAAATGTAACGACCAGGAGAATGATGGCATAGTTGGTGGACTTGGGAAAGTCAGAAGTGGGAACTACACAGAATGGGAGAGTATTACCTTAGGGTGTAGTCATTCTTAGTTTGAGATGAAGCTGTAATATTAGACGGAATGAGTGGGGAGGTAGAGAAGTGGGAATACAGGGGACAACCCAAGGAGAGGTGTGACAGACGAATGATGTTGCTCCCATTCCGAAGGCCCTCGGTAAACCACACTCAGGACTTGCTGCACTGGATATTGTTCCCCTGCGGTATAACTCAGTTAAAATGAGAAGCTGACCCAAAACAAAAATCTCTTGTCACAGAAAGTCTGGTTCTCAGTGCTTCCCATGGGGAAAAAGTTGCCAACTACAGGGACCTTTGAGGAATTTCTCTTATACTCAACCTAAGTTTTTCATTTGCTTTCCTCTGAGTTGGAACATAAATTCTGCTCCTCCTACATATCTCTCCACGTTCACTTGTATTTTAATCAGTCGTAGAGTATGATTAGGTTCCTTCTGTTTTTCTAAACAGAGCAACTCTTCATTGTCCGTGGTGAAAGAGAAAGACAAAGTGGTACAGAGAGGCAGGCACAGTTTGGACAATTCTAGTGGTAGTTTCTGTTTGCCTTGACGTAACCCCATACTTTCTCTTTTAGCTGATGAACTTCTCAATTATCTTTATTCATATTAATATTAAAATTGGTTCACATTCCAAGGACACACACCATTGTCTAGCTAATGAAAATGAG